CTGTGTAGTGTGAAGACATATTCTAGTTCTTCTAATTTCTATCTGTAAACTCCAGTTCTTCTACTTTCTATCTGTAAACTCTAGTTCTCCTACTTTCTATCTGTAAACTTTAGTTCTCCTACTTTCTGTCTCTAAATTCCAGATTTCCTACTACTATAAGTAAACTTTAGTTTTTTTATAGTTTTTTTTTTATAAAAATACAGTGGGATTCAGAAAACTGTGAAATAGGAAGACAACATTTTGCCATCAAAACTTGAATAACTTTAAAATCAAGCTAATCAAAAACTGGTCTCTATGTAAACAAGCTGTGTTTCATGTTTATTGGAGTATTTAAAATCATAACTTGAGTTTAACAGTCGTCCTATATTTGCATAGTTTTATAGGGCCCATTGTACGTAATCTTTTATTTTTGTTTGTCTAAAGGAGGGGCTGGAAATATTAGAGAGAATAGAGAAGGAAGGTAACAAATTATTTTTCGCATCTGAAAATTTTTTTTATTCTTATTATTTTTCTTGTTTTTGATTTTTAACAATGTTTAGCGATACCTATGCAATATAAAGGGTGATTCTAAAACACACAAAATGCAAATTTTTATTTTTTGGGGCTTAAAACGTTAAATTCAAAGATTAAAAATGTAAAAATCTAAAGATTTGCACATGAATTTTATGTTTTTATATCACTCATCAGTCTCCTTTATCGACCTGACTCCCATTTTTATCTAAAACGAACTCTGGTTGACAGAGAATAAAAGCCAGTAAACGTCTACAATATCAAATTCTCTTTATTCAGGGTTTATCACATTTTTTTTATTTGGTTATCATTTAATACTTTCTCTATAGATGTCCTTGTCCTTCAGAATACTCAGAAAATTGTCAAAAGTCAAACATTTGCCATTTTGGTGGTTGGAAGACTGTAATTCAACAAGGAGTTGAAAGTCTCTTTTTCAGTATTTAAGGAGATTTCAGCTTCTTAGAATGCAGCTCCATCATCCTAGGACACTATTTAGATTTGAGTTTGTTCATCTGTATTTTTTTTGTGCCCATTACTTAAACTATGGCTTGAATCTAGATTTGTCAAATGTGTTTCACAATTTAATTTAAAATACTCATGCGCGCATGTTATTGATTATCAAATTAACCACCCAGCCAATATTTTTGGTTTTCATTACCCTTTAGGTTTTCAAAACAGAATATTTTCCCTGCGACTTTCATTTTTATGTATTAAATATGACAAATAAAACTTGAAAAATTGTTTATGTGATGGATTTCGACAAGAAACATGGTACTTTATAATATAATTTGGTAATTTATTTAGTATTTTCAATTCAAACCTTGATCTGTCTTTTCAAGATGGGTTTAGATGTTTATGTCATTATTTTTTCCATCAATTGGTCCTATAGGATCCCTGTTCTTAACAATTATTAGGATTTTGTTGGTTAATTTTGAGTTTTATCTTTTTAATTTACCTTTATATGCTTATTGAATTTCTGTTTCAGGTGAGATCTTCATAGAACTGCATGCACCTTTAAACCTGCTCAAGAAATTTGAAGGAGTTCTCAAGATGCGTCTGCCAATTAGGGTAATTTTTCTTTTTGCGGGATCCAGAAACTGTGTATTAAATAATGATGTGAAAAAGTACAGTAACAATAACTTAAAACACAACAAATTCTCTTATTAGGTTGATTTTCTAGCTGCTGGTAAAACTCAACGAGGTTATAGTGTATAGAGTGATGATGTACGCTAATCCTTTACTAATTGTATAGGCCATAAACTATACCGAGAGCGAACTGTATATTTGTTTATTATAAGTTGATTCTAGTCTAACCTATAGTATATCATTATTAGTAAATAGTTGTAAGTGTACAGTACAGCTAACTGAGCACACAGGTAGAGAACTATCATCTCCCTGGTAAAACTATATTGCTTTGTAAAATCAAATACTTAAAATATTGCTTAAATATCATCTAACTATATTCCATTGTATTATAGGTCCTGCAAGCTGTATCTTTGTAGATGTTAATGTTGAAAATTTAATTGATATTATTTTTATTAGTTTTGCCTTTCTGATCAACTATGAATTAGAAAACAAAATGTGTATTATTTAGAAAACTGATTATTTCAATTGTGTTGCACAAACTAAGCTTTTAAGACACTTCACGCCCATCTTCTATTTCTAATTGTGGTTCTATCTTTAAAGCATCTTAATAGAAAAAAACTAAGACAAACAAGCAAAAAATATGAATTGAAGTTGAGTATTTTTAAAGCCTAGTGAAACATAAACAGTAAAATATAAACATATAAAATATAATTTAAACATAAAATATAAACATTTAAAACATAAACAGTAAAAACAGATCAAATAGATTTGATCTGTTTCTTGTAGAAAAGTGAAGAAGAAGAGGATGATGAACCTGATCAAGGATTCCTTCAATCCTGGATACAGCGTACAAAGGAAACTAAATAATTCACAAATTTATCGGGAGAGGGGTGGAGGCATTTGATCGCAATAAATCTTAAGATAAAGAGAAAATATTTACACACAATTTCTCATCGTTAACAATTTTTGGAAAAGATTATTTAAACATATTGGCTGGATCTTTAGCTGTTTGATTGGTTTACAGCGTTAACAAACCAAAATACACTTCCTGTCGTGTAAAATATTATCCGTTCTCAAAATTATGACAGCTGCTCAAAAAAACATTATTTATTATGATGTTTCTAGTTCCAATGCCAGGGTTGTATTACAATTACAGTGAATCCCAGATATATGAATACAAGGCAAGAGTTTTTTATAATGTCGTATTACATAATTAAGATTAAATGCCGCGGAAAAATGAGTTTAATACTAAATTGCATTCATATTAAAGAGATGGAATTTATAGATTTTGAGGCGCGGTTTAAATCTGCCAAAACCCGGTTTAAATTAAGCGCCGGCTTAAATCTTGAAACATTTGATACAATTTTAAGTGGAACCAACCATATTTAAGCCGCGGCTTAAATTTAAACTGCCGCTCAAATTCTTTAAATTCGGTCACTGGGCTATTAATTTTTTTTTCGCGGCATTTGATCTTAAATAGGTTGAGAATAAGACATTATAAAAAACTCCTGCTATGTATTCATATATCTGGGATTCACTGACATAAATGAATTATTTATTTTCTGATACAGAAACGTTTCATTCCTGATCCTCGGATTAGGAATATTTCCAAGGAACCCAATTAAACTAGCGATAGAAACATTTATTCAGAAATATCACTCACCTCTGATCCTTTAGTAAAAGTAAATCCAACCTAAAGTCTGACCGCGTCAACCTTGTTGCACCGGCTAGTCTTATTGAGTGTCTGCTTCTTTTTCCCAATGACCGGGCAATACAGTACAAACTGGGACCGGAAAAGTTTACCCGGCTCGGAAATTCAAGTGTACTACGGCTGCCCGTGATATAAACTAAATATTCAACCTTTAGTTTCCAACATTAATGGTTTGTTTCATTGGGATGATTTCAGGGGAAGGAGTTGACAGCAATCGACAGGTAATTAAATAGAATTATACTGTGAGACTCAAAAAATTGTGGACTAGGAAGACGACTTTTAGACTCAAATTATTATTTTAAATGGTCCTTTGAACATGAAACACACCAACTGTGCAGTGTACACTACACAGTTCCATTCTATTAACAAATTGATGTTCAATCTACTGAATAAAGTATTTGCTTTATAACAACATTAAATTCACATAACACCGCTTAAACGTCGTCCTTCTATTACACTATATAGATAGTCGTCGTCGTATATATCAAAACAATGAAGATAACTTTTGATTTCAATTATTGATTTCTACCATGCTTTTAAACTGCAGCATGGATACATATAAACATTGAACCAAAGCTGTTAATTAACAGCTTATCTTTGTCTACTTGTAATCTTGTTTAATTTGAAAAAAGCTTGTCAGGAATCAAAACTTTTACTATATTTATAATTATTCTCTTCTCGATGTTTGATCCTATTTATTTTGCAGGGATACTGAATATCTGTTTGATCCTATTTATTTACCGAGTTATTACTTATTTATTGCAGGGATACTGATCATCTGTTTGATCCTATTTATTTGCCGATTTATCAAAGCATGTTAAAACATATCTAATTAGTTTTACATGAATAGCAATTTGGTTTATAACACATTGTAATGTAGTTTTCAAAAGGAGAATTTAGTAGTCTATTTTTCACTAAAGTTCTAATGTTTACAGTTTTTTAGTCAACTCTTGAATTTCTATCAAGTGGGTTTAGATCATTTGGTATTCTACTGTAAAAAGCTAAGAATGTTAAATTCACTGATTTTCTGGATTTGAACAACCCATTGCAACGATCTTCAATAATTTATGACTTTTTTTAACTCTTTTCATTTGGATTGTTCAGAGCAAGAATTGTGAATTATGTGCTGGAAAACACACGGTACGGAGAGGAGAAGTCAGAAGTCGGCCTCAACCGATTAGTCGAAATGAATGTGTTCACAGGAACTTAATCAATTATTTTTTATAGTTTATTTAATTGCTATCTTTTAAATATAACTTTTTTTCCTTGGAAACCATAAACTTAAAAAGAAGTACTAGTGAAAAAACATTTCTCTTAATTTTTGCTTCATTATTAAAGTTTTTGAAAATTAATTATTGATTATTTTGATATAGATTCATATTCCCCTCATGACTGGGACAAACGTCATCTGTTACACCTTTATTGGGCAGACACTCGTAATATTTTCAAACTTCAACCCTTAGGTAAATTCTAATCTTTGACTAAAATATATTTAAAATATTCACTTTTCTGCAGTCTAAGTTTTATATTTAGTTGTGAATCGGTAATGGTGATTCTAAGTTAGGTGGCAAATGTTAAAATCTGATTTTCTATTTCAAGTATTTAGTTTTTAATACGTGTTCATGTTTAATTCTTGCAAATCTTTATTTTAAAATACATTTATATTTGTTATTTATAGATGCAATTCGAGATTATTTTGGTGAGGGTATTTCGTTTTATTTCGCGTGGCAACAGTTTTATACCTTGATGCTCATATTTCCCAGGTTAGCTTTAGCTTTTCATAGATGGATCTCATTCTTCTTATTCTATTTTCTTTGTTAATAATATTTATGTATTTCGACATTTTGAATTTATAGAAAAATATTTTTACAATTGTGTCGAGTACTGCGACCGTTATATATTTAGCCCTGGAATATACAAAATTTTAATGGATAAATAGAAAAAGATGAAATAAAATATAATAATACATAAAATAAAAACAAGAAATATGATTCAACGTAAATAAAAACCTGTTATTTACTATTTTCTGGTAGTTTGATCGGACTCCTCTGTTTTGTGTATGGCGTATGGACCATGTTCAGTGATCCCATCAGGTATACTTTGTTCAAATTCAAATATTCAACAACTCAACAGAAATCAACCTGAGACGGAATATAGTAAAAAACAACTTTATAAAACTTGTAGCAAAAACCTCTAAAGGAATTGAGTTTTTTACCAGAAACAAATCCACTAATTCCACGTTCTTTGCATCATAATGTTGTAAACCTTAGATATTTCAAACTATGAATCAAAGGTTTACATCATCTGTGTCCGAATTTAATGAATTTGAGCCGCGTCTTAAATCCGCCAAAAACCGGTTTCAATTAAGCACCGACTTAAATCTTGAAACATTGAATACAATTTTAAGTGAAACCAACTTTTCGACACTTTGTGACACCAAATTTTGTACAGGCTGTTGTGTTTGGTCCTAATAATTGAGATAGAAGGCTGAAATTTTGCATGCAGCCTCTAATTGTGATCATCTACAAAGATCATGAATAAAATTTGAGATCGGAGGTCATTGACCTCCATTTTGACCTCCATGAACTCAGTAAATACGGGAAAATACCCCCTTTTCACTCTTATTCAATTATTATAAGTTTATCAGCTCTTACATGTTTTCATATTTTTGCTACCATATAAGTCATGCTCTGATATTATAGACCCATATATCCGACCTCCCTTTTCACCTTCCTTCGATAGTGACCTCCATAAGGGTCAAATATTAAATCAATAAAAACATCAGTATGGTTTCAGATTGAAATCGGAACACCAAAAAACCTATGATTTGATACCTCAAATGGCTTATTTTTATCAATTTAATATTTTACTTTTTTGGAACCATCAAGAATATTCTTTAAAAACTGGATTTTTATGTTTAGTAACGATATTTGCCCTGGTGGAATTATGGCGGATACGGTGATGTGTCCGAGATGTGATGGTTGTAAACCCTGGATCCTACAGGAGGCATGCAATATGTCAAAGGTAATTTCAACAATTTTAATAAATTTTAATTTAAGAAAAATATCCAGCTCTGTAGTGAATGTTAAATAAAATACGTTTCGGATGCAGCTTAACTCAAGTTGTTTTATTGCAGACAAAATTAGAAATAGTAATTTTCTAAAATATTCTATTGGTTTCCAATGCCATACTTTTAACTTTCTATGAATAAGCATGTTTTTTGCTTGAGTAAATTAATGAGATTCTATTATTATGATAAGAAAAATTCAAATTTTAAAATTGTTAAATAATCTATATAAAGGCTAAACATGTGTTTGATAACGAAGCAATGGTACTCTATGCAGCTTTCCTGATTGTTTGGTACACACTCTATCAAAGTATGTATTCTTTATCAATCTGGAAACTTTAAACGTATCCACCGGGGGGAAAAAAGAAAAAAGAAATATTTATGTTTGATTGGTCAAAAGAAATTGAGTTTTCGTCACAAACTTAAATTTAATCCCTATATCTTTACCAGGGGCGGATACAGGATGCGCTAGATTTTTTAGGAACAAAAAAATCTGAAAGTAGAACGAAAAATGGGTGGGGGTCGCTACAGGCAAATTTTTTTTAACCTGAAGTACTCAAATAGGGTCATTATTAAGATATTTGCCTGTTTTTGAGAAGCCCTTTGCACCAAAACAAACAAAAACTGGAGGTATAAGATGAATAGATTTGAGTTAATCTATAAATTACTTGTGAACATTTTTTAATAACGAATGGCCAATACTAATTTTTAATACAGGGAAAGTAAAGAATGTAAATTGTAAATGCCTATAAAGATCAAAACAGCTCAAATCTTCAGTTTTCCCAAAACTTAAATTGGAAAAGAACTTCCTGCAAGCTTGAGGAGAACTATACAGACAGTTTCTCCTAAACCTGACCATATTTTATTTTTAATTTCAATTTGTTTCCATGTTACATTTTGCTGTACAAGATGGTTTATTATAATCATTAATCTAATAAAAGAAGGGATAAGGATAGGCTTCTCAAAGTACAAAAAAAAATTAATTTAAACTCAATCATTTCTCACGTCAGGATAGAAATAAAAATTCCAAAATAACTCAGAAAGCACTCGAAATTTCCTTTAATTTGAAGAAAAAATAATCCTTTACCCAAAAAAAGATTTTATGCCAATTTTCTCCTTTTTCCTTCTTTCTTTCAATTTTCGTTTCCAATTCTTTTCATTTTTGCATTTTCTTCCTATTTTTGGTCTCAATTATTGCCCCCCCCCCCTCCTTCTAGCTACGGGCCTGCAAAAAATACTGAAAATAGACAAAAAGTTCTAAAATAAAAAGCTGAGAACTTGTATTATAATAGTGTGCTGATCATCATTTCATGCAGTTTTACGAATTACGTTCCCAGCTCTTTAATTTTTGTTCCTAATTCCTAGTTCTTTCATTTTTGAACTTAACTTCTTACTTGCTTCATGTTCCTATTTTTGTTCCCATTCCTAACAATGTGTCCCTAGACCATAAATCCCAGTCCTAAAACCTTTATTTTTGTCCCTAATTCTTAACAATTTTTTATTGTTCCTTAGATCATGTTATTTATTGTTTTTACGTTCTCAGTGCAGCCTGCATGAAACTCCTAGTTTCTTTTTCTTATTCCAAGCTGGCTCAATAGTCAATGTTCTTGTTTCCATTTATCGTCTTTTTGTTTCTCTTTAGTTCCTAACTCACCCAACCCAACATTTGTGATATTGTATTGTTCCTTTTTTAAAAACCTATAATGTTCCTATAGTTCGTTATTTTTTTACCTCGTTTCTAAAATCGTATAAATTGGTTAACTGACCTGTTTTTGTTCCTTATTTTAAGCACGACATTTCTTCTTATCTAGGATTTGACATACCAAGTTCTTTGTTTTTGTATTTAATATCATAATTCTTTCAAATAACTTGAAAATAGGTACAAACAATTAAATTATTTAAGAAAATTATTTTAGCAAATTGGGAATATTTTTTTGCCTCAAAATCTCGACCCCCCCCCCCCAAGTCCACCAGGGTTGCTTAAGGTACCCCTGCTCTCCTTTGTTTGTATCCAACCTTGATCTTTGCAACCAGATGGTGTAAACCTTTGATATTTCAAACTAAGACTTGATCTAAAAAATTCATAGCTTAAAATATCAAAGGTCTACAACATTGGGTTGCTAAGATGTAAGGGGAAACAGTTAGAGTTTGTGGCAAAAACTCATTTCCTTTAAAATTGAATGAACAGGGAAAAGGAAAAGGACCGAACCAGTATGATTGTTTAGCTAATTTTCGCTTCCTTACTTTCTTACTTCGTAATAATCAACAGACATGCAGATTCAAATTTAAGAAGCAAACTTTTTTTTTATTTGCCAGAATTGTGGAAGAGATTCTCGGCTGAGCTTTTTTACAGGTCAACTTCATTTTTTATTCTAGCTTTTTATCAAAATTTAGTTTATTCTTGAATAATGAATGATATTTCAAGTATTTAGATGGAATATGGATGAACATAATCCAGAGGAAGAATCCCCTAACACACTCAGGTATTACAGGGTCCAGGGTCAAGTGTCCAGGGTAAAGGGTGAAGGGTGAAGGGTCAAGGGTCAAGGATCAAGGGTAAAGGATCAAGGGTCAAGGGTCAAGGGTCAAGGGCCAAGGGTCAATGGTCAAGGGTCAAGGGTCAAGGGTCAAGGGTCAAGGGTCAAGGGTCAAGGGTCAAGGGTCCAGAGTCAAGGGTCAAGGGTCAAGGGGCAAGGGGCAAGGGGCAAGGGTCAAGTGAACAGAGTCAAGGGTCAAGAGTGAAGGTTCAAGGGTTAAGGGTCAAAGGTCAAAGGTCAATGGTCAAGGGTCAAGGGTCAAGGGTCAAGGGTTCATGGGGTTCAACCAACTTCCTGGACAAACTTGCAGACAAATTAACATTGGCTGTATAATCAATCAATTCCTAGAAAACATAAAAAAATAATAAAATTCCAATTCTGAATTGGTTTGGAAGTAATTACAATTTAAACGTTTTTGTTTTGTTTTACATAAATTCAAAACTGAAGATATTTTTTTTAGAATTGTCGCATCTTGGACATGCGTCATTTTCCTCATCCTACTTATTATCAGTGCTGTTCTAATCACTATTTTCCTTAGGTAGAATTTTATTCATTTATTCATTTAGTCTTTTATTAATTTTTTCATTTAGTCTTTTTATGTCAAAATGTTGGAAAATTGTATTAATAGTTTTTGGTAGTTTTCATAGAAAAAATATCTAAATAAATTTTATCTATTGTTTATAATTTTGTAATCTTTGCTTTTTAGAATGTATATAGTTTCGCAGTTTGCTAATTATGGAAACTGGATTTTACCAATATCAGTTGGAGGTTAGGATGAAGAAATAAATCTTGTATAAATGGCCTTAATTGGTTCTTTACGATTCCCCCGGTTCATTGTACTGCAGCACAAACATAATTAATAATATCTGTATAAGAGGGTAAAAGGATCAAAAACCTTGGTTTTAATGCGGATGCATTAATATACAATTAGGGTCTCAAATAAAAAGCGTCAAGAACTCAGTTCCTTTATTAGTTGGAAACTTCATTGTCATTTTAAGACCTTCAAGTCTAAAAATAGACTGATGTAATTACAATTTTAGTGCAGATATTATAAATGATTTTAATTATAAAAATCCAATTTCTAACGAGTCTTTAGATTATATCCCTTTTTTTAGATACCATGTCTTTTATGCAGATTATAAATCCAATACAAGATATAAGCCATCTAAGAGTTCGATAAAAGAACAAATTAAGCAATTAAGCATTTGTAGAAATTTTGCTGTTTAAAAAGTTTTTTATTTATATTACTTGTATAAACTTATAATATACCGTTATTAGTATTTTTTAAATGAAAAGACATAAAAAATTAAGCTCTCCTAAGTCTAATTTGTGTACTGTGAGGGTTAATTGTTTTGGTATCTGTTATTAAAACTTTGAAAACAACTTCCCGCACAACAAAACTGACTTCGGTCAACGTCTGCTATATTTAAACTTTGCTAAATTTTTATCATAGATAATGAAACACGTAGTTTTTTGCACATATTTTTTCTCAGGGTCAAGATTAGGCAAAGTGTCAGAAAATGAAGAAAATGTTTGAAATTAACAATGTAAAAAAATTTGCTTCTCCTACACAATGTTAAATTTTAAGCAAATAATATATTTTAGAAAACAAAGCAAAACCTACAACAACAACATTATGTGTAGGTGCTCTGATAAGTGCGATCATTCTGATTATTCTGGATTTTTGCAATGGATATCTAGCAGTTTTGCTTACAAAGCTGGAACTCAGGGAATATCAGATAAATATTTTTATTAAAAGTGTAGCATTCAGATAAAATATTTCTGATCTCATGAAAGGTTAAAAATCTGTGTCTAAATAGTTATATTTAAAGAAATCTGTTGATATCAGGAGAACTCAGAGTTCCTATGAAAAGTCTCTGGCCTGGAAAATTTACATCATTCAGTTGGTGAACAATTGCTTTCCTCTTGTGTATATAGGGTTCATCAAGGGTAATTCATCTTAAAAATTTTCAAAGTTAGTTTTATGAAAAATGCACAAAAAATATAACAAAAAATTTGAAAATTGAATTTCGATGTTTATTCTATGGAAAACCATTTTGAGTAGCTGATAGACAAAAAGCAGCGCTAACCAATTTTTGCCTTCCTAGTCTGACTTTTTAAAAATTATTTTGAGTATTTTATTAGGCCAGTTTATAGGGCGTCCTGGTGATTATCTAACTGTCTTGGGATACAGGTCAGATTTTATTAAATACATAAACATTAATTTTATCTATCCATTCAAACCATAGAATATTTACAGACCTATATAAATACCTAAATGTCTAATCCTTATATCTTACTTCTATCTTTGATATTTCAAACTATACATTAGCCAAAGAGTCAAAGTTTGAAATATCAAAGGTTTACACCACCAGGTTGCAAGAATATAGGGATTATAACTACTGACAGTGCAATATATTAACAGTGAATATAATACCTGGATTATTTCTAGACTAGAGGAATGTTCTCCTGGGGGATGTTTTATTGAGCTCAGTGTTCAAGTTGGATTTGTATTCTTTTTTAAACAGATTATTTTATCTGGAAAAGAATTCTATTTACCACAGCTCTTGAGGTGGTATAAAAATCCACACTCAAGGTTAGAAAAAAAAATATCAGATTGTTTACCCAATTCTGGTAAATGTCTCCGTACAGTCGTCAAGATTTTAAATTGAATTTTCTAGGGCTGACCATCTATATGATATTCAAATGATTAAGGATCACGAACTGGAAGAGTTTGACCAACAGGTAAAATGTATTGTACAGTTTTCACAAAAAAGATATTTTTAAGAATACATTTTATGTGTTTTTTATTAAAAAAAACATCCTAATTTCTTTGCACATTCTTTATTGTAACAATTTTTAAATGTTTTGTATTTATTTACTGGCTTGGCTCAAGTCTTAGACGATACTAAATCAGTTTTACATTCAAATTCATCAAAATAACTGAGGACTATATGTTTTATGTTTTATGTCTAGAAGTTTAAAAGAAATCAAAACATTTTTCAGGGTTTGTCAAAAGAGTACCTGGAAATTGACATAGAAATGAGCTATGTGATGTTTTCTGCAGCCTGCCCTCTAGCTCTTCTTGTTGGTATTTTAATCATTTCTCAATTTAAAATTTTAAGAAGAAAAAAGTTGTGAATTTTGAACTTATTAGAAAAAAAACTTATTTATTTAGCGTTAGGGAAGAATTTGGTGGAGACCAGATTTGATGCTAAAAAACTACTCCTGCAACACAGGTTATATTCAACACTTTTCAAGGGACTGAACATATGCTTTTCAAGGGACTGGACATGTGCTTTTCAAGGGACTGAACATGTGCTTTTCAAGGGACTGGACATGTGCTTTTCAAGGGACTGGACATGTGCTTTTCAATTTGACAAATGATTCACAACAGTTTCAATTTAACCGTTTTCACTTTTTTGCTTCAATTGTGTAAGTCTGATATATGCGTCTATTCTTTCAAATCAAGACAACATATCTTCATGCAGCGTCAGTTATGTTTTGCATAAGAGAATTTTTTAACTTTACAAAAAAGATATCTGGAAAACACAATGAACTCGGTTACGGTGGATAAAAACTGGTTTAGCAGTCTGTTTACCTACAGAGCGTCCCATATCATATTAGATTATCTCCAATCTTTAACGCCAAAATACGCACATAATACTCGAAAAATCTAGTATTTTCTGCCAAAAAAAATGTTCTATTAGATTTTTCAAAATGATTCATTCTTCTTAAACTTTCTGATTTGTTCAAATCGTAATTTAGACCCATTGACGCGGTCTAATTTGATATGGGACGTATAATCTAAATAGGCGATACGAAACAATATCTACAGTTTCCACATGAACATGGTGGGGGGAACAGGCCATGCAAAGAAGGCAGTTAGAGGAGGGGGGGGGGCTCAATTCTTTTTAACAGTTCCGCCACAAAAAATGAGTTTATTGTGAATTAAAAAATTTGCTGTATTGCAAAATTCTCTTATGGCCTTACATTACCTTGCGTATTAGTAAGAATCCGTAAAAATGTCGGACAGATATATAAATAAAATATATAATATAAAAAATAGCTAGATAGATAAATAGATTCTAATTTTTAGATTATATTCAAAGCTGGTTCTGAATCTATTGACCTAGTTGACCCCTTCAACCTTATTTTTTCCAGGAGACCGGTTGCGCAGAAAATGAGAAATATCGGAATTTGGCGGGATTCTATGAATTTCTTAGGTTAGGGCTTTTAAAGTTGGTATACTACATAGAATTAATAAATGAATATGAAAGAAAAAGTGGGGGGATATAAAAAATATTGTAATTCTTTAAGTTTATTCCAGGATGGTTTGTAATTGTAATTAATGCCTTGATGATTACTGTTACAAGTGATTTAATTACTAAGGGATCATCATTAAATTTAATTTATTAATTATCTCTATATATTACAGCTCATATTATGTTTGTTAAAATAACTCACTCACGAATAGAGTTATTCTGGAAAGTGTTTAAGTATTTTTGCGTTTTAAAAGGAGTGTTCGCGAAAAATGAAAGGGGGTTATAGGCTTAATGCGATAAAAAAGCGCTTTTGATCGCTACTAATGAGACGTCTTTAACAATTTTATCCTTATAGACGTAACAGATAGAAGTAACATTAGAAGCGATCAAAAGCGCTTTTTTATCGCATTAAGCAACCCCCTTTCAATTCTCGCGAATACTCTCTTTAATTGGGGATTCTGGAAGATTTCTTTAAGCTCTCACACTCACACCTCATCAGTTTACTTTCAAAATCTTTTAAAATCCTAAATGAAACCTTGAGCTGCCGCCTTAATATTTTTTAGTTTGCCATATTTACTGAATAGAGCTGTAGATCGATAGAATTGTTATTTTAAACAAATTCTTAAATTCTCAAAAAGGAATTGAGTTTTTACCTCAAACTATGATTTTCTAATTCCTATGTCTTTGCAACCAAATGTCGTAGACCGTAGATATTTCAAACTATGAATTATGTTAGATCTATCAATCAAAGTTTGATATTTCAAAGGATAAGTTTAACATAATGTAGCAATTTCTTGATGTATGAATGTATCAAGTGGGTGTACTCATTCAAATACACCGAAGAAGGAAACTTCAAAAACTACACTAACTTCACTCTCTCATCATACGATCAGAGGTCTTACTTTTACTAATTAGAAAATATCTTTTTTAAATCATTTATGCTATAGCTGCTGGAGTCACTAATTCTTGAAATAATATAAAGACAAAGCAATTTGACCTTTTATTTCTCAGATATTAACTTTAATTGACTTTTAATGTCTAAACTTATTTCTGATCATTTATTGTAGATTTTTATATTTGTATTTTTGTATAGGGATAATACGACATGCCGATATCAAGCCTTTGACCATTTACCAGCTGAGACCAACAATATTATCATTTTTACAAAGGAATTTTATTTTATTTTTCTACTTGAACCGATTCACAAGTTCACAACTGTACCCTTGAAACCTTTGTTTGGTCAAGCATGACATAGATATTCAATTTATCAGACAAAGGTTAAAGGTCACGCAACTCTGCCTCTTTAGTAAAAGTAAATTCAACCTATATGAAGCATAAAGTCTGACCGCGTCAACCTTGTTGCACCGGCTAGTCCTGTCCAATGTCCATAGAGCTAGGTACAGTACTAACTGGGACCGGAAAGGTTGACCCGGCTCGGAAATTCAAATGTACTACGGCTGCCCATGAGGTGCTATTGAGAATTATTCGAGACACTTTTTAAATAAAGGGTAACTTAAAAATACGTCTACAGTCCCTTTAAAATAAAGTTGGCAATACTTTTATGAAAATAAATAAAATTGTGAAGTTGCTGCTGGGCATTGGATATATTGTTCTGTTTGGTATCTGTAAGCTGATTATAAGGAATAAACTATTTTTCTAATTTACATATTTTGCAGTATTTTTTTATATTTCTAGACTAATTTTTCTAATTATCTACAGTGAGTCCCAGATATATGGATACATAGACTGTCATTAGTTTTTTGATAATTCTAAAGACAGGAATTGAATCTTTGCCACAAAGTCTGATTTTCTAATCACTATATCTTTGTAACCAAATGTTGCAGACCTTAGATATTTCAAACTGTGAATTCTGTTAGCTCAAATAATCTGAGTTTGAATTTTCAAAGGTTTACAACATCGAGTTCTAAAGATGTTGAGGTTTTAATATTTGATTTTGTTCCAAAGACTCAATTCATTTATTTTTATTTTTAATTCAAGGTAAATTAAAAGCTCTGAAATATGAATGCAATTGATATATTAATATTAAACTCATTTTTCCGCGGCATTTGATCTTAAATATGTAATACGACATTATAAAAACTCTTGCTATTCATTCACATATCTGGGATTCATTGTAGCATAATAATAATAAATAACTCTCCTGTTAAATATAAATTTTTTTTAATTAATTCTAAATATAAGGAAGACGATTTTTCCGACTCAAATGCCGTAGCCTTTTCTCTAGATGTATGTGTACTCAAGATCCATTTCCTCCTCATGTAGTGCCCACATGTCGAATCTCCGCTCATCCCAGCTCCCGGTATTCAGTCAGGTTTAGAGAGTTGAGCCGGTAACAGCTCCAACACAGGGAGCCTCTTGACTCCTTTATGATGATGACGCAGATACTCAGATAGCAGCAGACGCTCTTACCCGAAGGGTTCCCAGTTCATCATGCATTCCAGAGACAACATAATCGCTCATAGCCAGCATGATAAGCCGCGATCTCTGCCTACTAGGTTGGATAAGTCCTGTTGTTCAAGATCCTGTTGATCTGCTTCACCAACATGAAGATCTACATCACTCCCATGAAGTACCCACAAACATTCATCATTAATTCCATTGTTAATTTCTAAATCAATCAATTTTGACTCCGCCTTAAATGCAAATACTTCAAAACACTTTCGTTTTAAATAAATGTTAGAAATATCCATTTTAGATCTCTTTATTTTATTATAGTGACTTTTCAAGTCAACAAAATTATATTTAACAAAGTTTAACAAAGTTTAACAAAGTCTTGGCACTGCAATAAAAGACGACATTTATTCGGAAAATTCGGGTCTTTTAACATTTAACTGAATAATTATAAATATCATAATATTAATCAATATACAGGGTGTCCCAATAAACATGGGAATTCAGTGACGAATTCGATATCGTCTTTTCAAATAATTCTTTGATTTAGTATAGTGATACCTACTGAGAAAGCTGTAATCTGTTAGATTTTCGTCTGCTATGTGTACATTTTTTTGTTTATGTTTTGACTGCATACGGTTGTACTTAGTAAAACAAGAAAATTGCAGTATACAGAGTAAACTTGTCCGTCTTCACTATTCATCTTGCGGATAAATTGTTGACACATCTTTACAGTCTTTAACCCTTTTCATAAAATAAATTCTAGCAGACATAATAATATTATGACTTTTGAAATTAGGTATTACAGTGCTAATTCATAACAAAGACGATATCCAATTCGTCACTGAATTCCGATGTTTTTTGGGACACCCTGTAGCTTTCCCTTGCAAAAGAATGGAATACAGAATAGAATATACAAAATACTTTTCTCTGGGCTCTATAAAAAAGCATTTCTTTTAAAGAAAATATTCAGTATATATGAAAAATAGATTTGAAATTCGGTGATGGTGATGGAACAAACCTATGTAGAGAAAAAAAGTATATGTTAGTTCCACATTTTATTGAAAATATATTTCGGTCTAGGTTGACTCTCATCAGTTCTTTAGATTGTTTTGTCATGAAGATTAAAAACAATAGTTTTTTGCTATAGCTGTTGTATTCCTGATGAATCGAAGGATCTGACGAACAGAAAAGAAAGAGAGGTGAGAAGAAATACGCGAAAAAACAAAAGCATTAAAGTATTCAAGGTGGCCACAATGTACGGATTGTACGGATTTTTTATTTTTACAAAAAAATTGTACAAATTGTACAAAATGTACGGATAATGTCTCAAATATTACGGATTTTCAGGATTTTTACTTGGAAAACATTATTTTTTTTATTTTGACTCATCAAAAGCTAATTTTTGCATGAAAGTTTTCAAAAAAAAATTCGTCAAAATGAAGTCATAAGTTGCTGATTTTCCAATTTTGCATAAATTTTCAAAAGTTGCTGATTTTCCGACTAGGAAACTATAAATTAAACCTAAGTTGTTCTACTCTAACTGTATGAATTATTATATTAATAGGAAAGCAGATCTATTAGCTCTGATGAGAACCAGATTGAACCTGTTGTCCCTACATCTAACATTGACGAGAAAGAAGAAACCAAGCAGACGGATAAGGTAACCTGAGATTTTCTTTGGAAACCTAAGCTTTTAAACTGCCTCACTAGTCACTATGCATATGCCTAGCTCCTGGTTCGGGTTTTTCGACTTCTTTGACTCAGTTTTTATGTAATGTATCTATACATGTATGTATTTATGTATTGCCTAAAAATGAAATGTAATAAGAACAAGATGTTTATTGACCAGTTCAGTTTTTGGAATAAATAGCTGAAGTACAAGTGGAAATAGCTACGAGTAAAAATGCTAGTTCTGTTCAAAGTAGGGCTAGAAAAACTCTTGCGCTAGGTTAAGTTAATCTCGTTTACAAATCCCATTACAAGGTTTTTTTAGTGAGGAGGGGGTCCCGTCTTATGAAGAAAAGTTTCTGCAATTTTATATCATAATTCCATCCTAGTTCCATCCTAGTTTCATCCTAGTTCCAAATTGGTCCTTGGGGGTTCCTCAGTTGAGATCGGACATACAAACATACAAACAAACAGAGATTACTGCCTTATTCATTTAAATACTTTGCTTGTCTGTCTGCTTGTTTGTAACCGATAAACGGCAAAACGGCTGAACCGATCGGGACCAATTTTTGTGTTGGACCTCACATGACCGCACTTGCCCCAAAAGCCTGTTTTGTCTGTTTGTATGTCTGATCATAACTTATAAACCTCTTGACCGATTCGCCTCAAATTTCGATTGGAGAAGTCGGGCGAACCATGGGAATGTTCTTGGCTTGGTTTTCAGATTCTTAGTTGAGTAAGGTGACGTTTTAAGGCAGGCAAAGCTGGGTTCCTAAGCCATTATATTGGTACATGCAACTTTCTAATTTGTAATGATTATTAATAATATTATTTTTATCATAATTCCCCCAGTGTGGGGGGAAAACATTATGGTGCTGAATTGACCGGGTTTGGGGCTCAGTCTGAAAGTATGCAGTGATGGTCTGTGGATTCCACGTTGAGGACCTTTCACGATCATTTCTTTAATTAATTAAATTTAATAATGTTTAGGTCAATATGGCAACCAACCGAATTGATATCCTTGACTCTGCTCTTCCTATACCTGGGAGAATTGACAGGTATGAACCAGATTTAATTTCTAGAAATGGGATTGATAGAAATCAGTGCTTGAAATTCGGATCCAAAACATTTTGGCAAAGATACGCGGATTCACAGATCTTAATCCAAGGCCGGCAAAATGTCAACCAAACACTGAAGAGAAAAAAATGATGTTTTTAAAACACAAATCTGAACTGTTGAAAAATTTCATTATTTCTGAACGGTTCATTACGTTTTAGCACCTAAATAAGGGATGAAAAAAATAAGAAATAATTTGAAAATTCTTCTAGAATCTTCAGAAATGTTCAAGACCTCGATCTGAATTCCAATCCATTTTTTTCTGGAACCAGGATCAGATCCAGATCAAAATAAAATAGATCCCAAGCACTGATTTAAACTTAGCTAGTAACTAGAAACTGACCCTACAATTTATTTGTACATTATATTAACATTGAAAACAGAGCCGAAAATTTAATGAATGATTTTTTGGAAAACTTAAAAAATGATAATTAAAGGGATTGTAAAGGAAAAATGAAACCTACGTTACTTAGGATTTGATCAAAACCCTTGAGAGTTCCATCTAATGTTCCTGTCCCAAGAAATTGCTAAAAAAAACTGTGTCAAATTTATGGAAAAAGCATGCCAAATTTTGTATAAAAATAGTTTGTTTAAACAAATCATATTCAGCAAATATGCAACCAATCTGAAAACGACGATATCCCACGATAGCCTAAGTAAATTAGGTTTGCTCTTATTATAATTGAGACCCATTAAAATTTGGAATAGGAAGACGACTGTTAGAATCAAGTTATGACTATGAATATTTTAATGAACATGATTTAATGCAGTGTGCTGTTGACACAGATCCATGTTTACTGAATAAGTTGGGTTTCAATCAACTGAAAAACTTATTCTTTTCAAAAGCATCAAATACTCAACAAATTACTCGTCTTCCTTTCTTATTTTTTTTTTAAATGTTTGCGCTAAATAAGATTGTTACTGTCGCTACGAAATGTATTGAATTCCTAATAAATCATTAATTTGTTTTTCTGTTTAGAGATTATGCTTCAAGTACAGTTATGTCTCTATCTTTAATTTTTCTACTTTTTCTTTAAAAATGTTTTCAAAAAAGTAATTTTAAGATTAGGATCCGGATCTGGATACATTGCATCCTGATTCTGGATCATAATCATTTAGAAATAGCACAAAAATAAGTGAAAAATGTAAAAAATTAAATACATTCACTTTAAAAAAGTTTATTTTGAAGAAATTTTCAAGGTCTAAATCCGGACTCATTTTTTCCACGCGGATCTTATTTTTAAAAAATGGATCCTTACTATTGGTTTCAGGTTTACAAAGCGTCATAAATTGTTAATAAATCATAATTTTGTAAATTATGTTTAGAATAATTGAGTTCCCTCTGGCAAATGAAGAGGCAAGGCTAGATATTCTCAAGAATTATTCAAGGAAGATGAATCTTACAGGGTAGGTTTATTGCAGGGGAGTATTTTGAAGAAAATATGGAGTTATATAAGTTTTAAAAAATTGGAGTTTGATAGAGTTTAATAAGTTGAATTTGGGAAAATAAATTATTGTTATGGGAAAATACATGGGTGTTATTTTTGAAAAATGGTTAGAGCGTATTGACTATGTTTAAGAGATTAATTAGAATAGTTTTTTTAGAGATATTGATTTATGAATTATTACAGTTCTAAAAAATAGGACGCTACTGAAGTCTGATTTGATAAGTGCGAAAAAACTGCTACAGTTGTTAAATTTTACAGTCTACGTCTGTTCAACAATTCAGATAAACCTGTTAAGCTCAAAAAATACCTTCTTTGTTCATTAATGTACAAACAAAAATGCGTCATTGTAGACAAAATTGATACATTATTAAGTCAAAAAACGTTCACAGTTAAAAAAAAACATAAACAAAATACAAAAAGTTGAGAAAAAATCTAGTTTGTTATAATTACTCTTTGTTCAGAGGAATAAACCTGCGGAAGATTGCTGAACAGATGGGAGGAAGTTCAGGAGCTGAGGTTAAAGGAACATGCACAGAAGCAGGTGAACACACCAAAATTATGATAACATACAAACAAACATACTAACTAACAAACAAACGATGATATAAGAATAGCCGTGATAACGTTCAGGAAAATCGTGTGTCTCTCTTCATCCAAACTATTGAGATCTTCATTTTTCATTCGAATCAAGCAATTGTTTCATTACTTAACTTTTTACTTACTGATGTGAATCAGACATACCGCGGTATGTAAATAAAGGGCTCGACTGCATTATGCCATCAGTTCCTTTAACCCTGTTGATGTTTAGGTATGTACGCACTGCGTGAACGCCGAGTTCATGTCACCCAGGAGGATTTTGAGATGGCAGTTGCGAAGATTATGCAGAAGGACTCATAGAAGAATATGTCCATTACGAAGCACTTAAAGAAGATCAAAAATTGTGTCAAGTCGGTTAATAATTTGTTCGGATCAACTGTATATATAACAACTATCGAATAGATCAACTATACTTTTTCACATTGATCAACAACATGCAGCAAAACAATATATGTGAAATTATAAACTATAAACAATTTATAAAACCTATTTATATTTTTCAAGGTTTCATAAGGCAAAACGTTAGTTAACGATAATTTCGTAAAAATTTATTCATTCATTTCATTTAAAAATAATAAATTTTTAGTTTGTTTATATGTAGTAATGCTCAATTGACTAAAAACTGGGTTGTGAACAACTGACTTTAGTACAATTGTGCTGAAGTCCAAACGGCCTTTTATAGTCCTATCGATAAAAAAGCATCAGTTCTACTGTTCTACACAACATAAGAAGATTGAAGGGCTGAAGTTTCACTTCACAATCAGAATTGTTAATTCTAAACATTTGCTATTTTTACACTATTTGACCCTGAGAGAAAATGTTGCAAAGTTTGAAAAAGGTAATTATATAACAGAATACAGTTTTGAAATGTTAAAAGTTCTTTAGAAGTTGTAAAAAACGAACCACGTTATGTCCCATCACTGCTGGAAAGTCCCAATCGAATAGGAAATCAAAGTTAAGCATATTAATGTCAATTTGATGGCAACAAAATAGTGTTGAGCCTAATGAAGATGCAGCTAATTTGTTCGTTCTCAGAGAGGTTTGCAACCAGCATGAAAAACATTAAAACTTTATGTCTCTCTACATATTTCTAGAAGAAACAATGATTTTTATGCGAGTAATAAGCTCTCTGGACCTTTTGAGGAACCTTAATTTTAAATGAAAATCGAATTATTAGGCAAATTTTTGTAATTTTGATCATTCATAAACATTCCATGGGGTCACGTGAGGTCCACACAAAATTTGGGCCCGATCGGTTGAGCCTTTTTTTTATCAATACACAATTTAAGTATACTCAATTTACATACAGATTTTTGAATATTCGACACAAATTACTTGAACGACCTCTTCTGAAATAAAAAACAAATTGCAGAAGTACTGCTGTTTCTTGTCAATTTAAATGATTTGAAGGGCTGTAATCCCCCTAATCCAGTTTTATTGGGCAACCTTGTATATTTTCTTGGATTTCTTTTTCTTATTACTTGGGGCTCATTTGATCTTGCCAAGCTACATTTGTTGCATAAAATGTGCTGTGTCAACTCTACATTGGGTGGTCTAGGCTTGACGGTACAACTGAAAGTTTTTGACAATTAACAGTAAATTCAGTTGTTTACGGAAAAATCCGTTAATTTTGATATCGTTACCGAACAAAAAAAAACCTTCATGAAACTTAAATGAATGTAAATTAAAAAAAGAACGAATGACTGTGTTTTAAAATTACTGAGACTGTCGTTAATTTTCTGCTTTAAATTTCATGAAATTTTAAGAAATTAAAAAAATATTAAAACATTTTCTGTTAAAGACATTTTTAAAATTGTTATCGTAACAAACAGTAACTTGCAGAAAGAAGGGAAAAACGGAAAAAAACCGATAACGAAGGGATTATTTAGTTCTAAGCTAAAGAGGATCTGCTACCTGAAAAGTTGGTAACGTTTAGCTATTTTAACTAACCATTAACGACTGGCTTGAAAAAATCACTTTTGGCTCAATTTTTGTGTTAATTTAAAAAAAGTTCGTCTTCGCTACATGTCTGTACTGTACTGTACTGTACTGTACATGTCTGTACTGTACTGTACTGTACTGTACTGTACTGTACATGTCTGTACTGTGATAACCAGAAAACAATTTGAAAAAGGACAACATTATTACAGAAATGAAGTGTAATTAGTGTTGTTACAAAGCAAATGGTATTACTAGACACTTATAACATCACTGATTTAGGAAACTGGGTCTGTTTAATTGCACAATTACTAGGTGTCATATGCATCTCACTGGACTATAAAAAGCTATAACTTGATTCTAAAATGCATCTTCCTATTTCAGAGTTTTTTGGTTATCACTGAATAATTTCCATTTCGATATTTTCGGATTTTTTTCTACAGAAGTTTTGACGTTGGAATTAAAGGGAGTGACCGGCAATGTATGGAGGTTGAACCATGAATATCTAGTATTGTGGACAAATTTTTTAGGATTCACTTGAGACATATAAAACGTTTCTACGGCGCATATTTACTAAGTTTGAGCCAGTAAGTCGACGTTCAAAATCAAAAATTTGGGTTGGTACGTTTTCAAAATCGGTTTTTTATATTATTTTACAACGACGAAAAATAATGTAAAAAAATTCTGCAGTAAACTAATTAGATGTTTAGGAAGAGGCTGAGAAAATAAAAATTATCTCTTATTATCGAAAATAAGTAATCACGCAAAATAATCCTTGGAGACCCCTATATTTTAATTGGAGACACGTAGATTATTGTTGGTAACCTCCATATTTTTATTGGAGACCTCATATTTTCGTTGGGCACCCCCATATTTTCACTGGATACCCCCATATTTTCATTGGAGACCCCCAGATTTCAATGGAGACCCCAGATTCTCGTTGGAGACCTCTAGATTCTCGTTGGAGACCCCCAGATTTTCATCGGAGATCCCAGATTTTCATTAGAGACCCCCACCGAATTTCATTGAAGACACCTTATTTTTTGGGGGTCTCCAATGAAAATATAGTGGTCTACAATGACTATCTGGGCTCTACAAATGAGAATCTCGGGGTCTTTAATAAAATACGGGGGTCTCTAATTAAAAGTTTTCTAATAATAATCTTGGGTCTCCGACGAAAATAGGAATTCTCTAATGGAAATCTAGGGGTCTCCAATGAAAATCTATGGGTCTCCAATAAAAATCTTAGGGTTTTCCGCAGGGGGGCTGGATCTTAGCTACCTCTCCTTGTGTATTGGCCTGAGTGTACACTTGGGATAGTTTACTGATAAAGGATGTTAAGAGATTATGGCCTATTCATACAGTACAAATATCAAATATGCAGTACGCTTTCGGAGTACAAGTGTATGGGGAGGTTTTGTATCTTGAATTTTACTCAGTTTTCTCAGAACAGTTTATTAATATTGCTCTGTAAAAGACTGTAATAGTTTTTCTTCCCGTGAAAATGGAATCCTGAACACAATAAAGGAGTAGTGGATTTTAATACTTACATGGAAAATAAATTCTCCATTTAAATATTTTCAGAAATCACCCCCGAGTACTGTATTATACAGATTGATCTTTGGAAGTGAAGTACATGGCAGCTGTACAATTAGTAAAGAATTAGCGTACATCATCACTCTATATACTATAACCTCGTTGGGTTTCCATTACAAATCTTGTGTATCCAATGAAGATATGGAGGTCTCCAACAAAAATATGGAGGTCTCCAATAAAAACCTAGGGTCTCCTATGAAAATGGGGACCTCCAACGAAAATAAGGGTCTCCAATGAAAATATCAGGGTCTCCAACACAAATCTTGGGTCTCCAATGAAAATCTGGGGGTTTGCATTGCAACAAAATTATGGGGTCTCAAAAATGAAAATCAGGGGGTACGTCTCCATCGTAACAAATTTAATAACCAATTTATGGGAGTCTCCATCAAAAATATGGGCGTCTCCAACAAAATAAAATGAGGTCTCCAATAAAAATTTTGGGGACTCCAACGAAAATCTGGGGTTTCCAATAGTACTCCAATAATGATAATTTCTTCCGAGACTCGACACCAGCAGCAATAACTGTAAAAATTGTCTGCAGCAAACAATAACAGACGGTGTCTCCCAATAAACATGGGAATTGAGATACGAGTTGAAAGTCGTCTTTGATTTCTGATATTTAATGCATGACAAAGCAAGTAAAAAAAACGAGGCTGTACTTCTTACGAGATTTTCATAAAGTGCAGGTCCACACTCTTCTTTTCTTGTATCTTAAAAGCTGACGAAGATATTAGATTTTACGACAATTTTATATTTATCTTTAAAATTTAACTTTTAAAAATTAGGACAGGCTATGCGCCGCGGCTAGAGGGCCGGGCACAATAAGCAAATGTACTCTCCTAGGCTGTACAAATACCGAGATTCTTATGTACTGTATATACCTATAGTACACTCCTTCGGTTCGTTATTACTTACACACACTCTTTTGGTACAGACATATATGCTTGACGTTTCTGCCCCCTGCTAGCCTGTCATAGCCGTGGCTCTTGGCCCCAGCATGTCTCAGTCTCGACGCCTGGCACAAGCGCCGCAGCGCTTTGTCCTTTGTGCATAGCAAAAAATACTGAATTTATACTTTAAAATATTTTATTATTTGATTGATGATTAGGTAAATCTACACTGGCGGATACCTTGTTCAACACTAGCTTTGAATCCCAACCAGAAACCCACAGGTTTAGTTCGTGAAATAATTTAATGAATTTGAGCCGAGTCTCAATTCCGCCAAAAACCGGTTTCAATTGGGCGCCGGCTTAAATCTTGAAACATTGAANTATGAACGAGAAATGACCAAGTCACTTTCGCAGATAATAAAATAATAAAATAAAAAAAATCATTTATTGTTTTCTGCAGTAAACATAATAAAAAATTACACAATCTCAATAAAAATAAAAATATAATTGAAATTACTGAATATAAACAGTTTAAAGGAACAAAAAGAGATATATATAATTTATACTTGATCAGACAAAGCTTTCAAGGTTATCGTTGTAAATTGTGCATTGTCATCTTTTCATGGAGTTGGAGGGTCACTTGATATACACTTAGCCCCTTTCATGATTCAGGAAATACACGATTTTTTTTAATCTCAAGTAAAAATGAAATCTTTTAATTTTAGAGAACAAGAAGTGAGACTCAAGGCGCAATCTTTTGAGCTTCAGGTAGGGTTATTCTTATTTTGAGCTTCAGGTAGTATTAAGCTTATTTTGAGCATTTGAGCTTCAGGTAGGATTATTTATATTTTGAAAAAAAAATCGCACATTGAATTGAAGAAACATACATATCTAACCGTCTTGTTTTATCATTTGGGAAAATAAGGTTTTTGTTGTGATGTTTACTGTTTTTTGTTTGTTTTCAGGTTTAAATTCAAGTTTTTAATCCCTCACCACTTTTCAAGATTAAAAAAACACTTAAATTTAAACCTGAAAGGAACAGTAGAAGTAAAAATCCCGGCAATAAAACATATTGTCCCACATGATAATAGATGGATATATGATATATAAGAAAAAATATTTAAAATAATATTCCTTCCTAATTATTTATTTTATAGGAGAGCAATGTAAATTTGCGCCTGACTCTGGTTGATACAGTAGGATATGGAGATCAGATAAATAAGGGGGATAGTTTTAATAGTATAGTCGAGTATATTGATAACCAGTTCGAGGCTTATCTACAGGTATCCATCTATCTATTCTATATTAGGGTATGTAGGATATGGAGATTAGATAAATAAGGGGGATAGTTTTGATAGTATAGTCGAGTATATTGATAACCAGTTCAAAGCTTATCTACAAGTATCCATCTATCTAAATCTATTCTATATTGGGGTATGTAGGATATGGAGATCAGATAAATAAGGGGATAGTTTTAATAGTATAGTCGAGTATAATGATAACCAGTTCGAGGCTTATCTACAGGAATCCATCTATCTATTCTATATTAGGGTATGTAGGATATGGAGATTAGATAAATAAGGGGATAGTTTTGATAGTATAGTCGAGTATATTGATAACCAGTTCGAGGCTTATCTACAGGTATCCATCTATCTATATCTATTCTATATTGGGGTATGTAGGATATGGAGATTAGATAAATAAGGGGGATNTGAATTTATGGAGAACGTTTTTTATTTTGCGAGGAAAAAATTGAACAATATTTTAGGGAACTTTTTACTGACTTTCATCTTCTAAATACTTAAGTAAATAATTTAGTCTGTATGAAGAAGCTGGATCAGAAGGTGAACATAATCCCGATCATCGCCAAGGCGGACACCATTAACAAGACGGAGCTGGCAAAATTCAAGGTTGGTAATAAATTTCAGGGGTGTATATTTTCTTTCAAAATCAATTTTTTTACGTTTTTTTTTCGCTGAAATTAATGATTATTAAATAAATGATAAATGGGTTATTCGGAAAAATTTAAACCCCGAAATAATTTCGTGTAGGATTTGAACTACTTAGACTAAATTGAACCACATCTAAACTTGTAAACCGGCGCACAGCAGATGTGGTTTAACAGTCTACGTAGTTCAGCTACTTCTCGCAAACAGGCTATTCATTAAATTTGGCCTCTGTTTTACTATTTCTCATTATTTTATTAAATTATCGTCTCATTCCTAATTAATAATCATTATCTATTTTCCTGTTTCTTTTAAAAGGTTTTCTTCGCGGAATTAGGGAAAATAAATGTTTTTTAGAGGAAAATTGATAAATATTTGTTTTAAAGTTTAAAAAACTTGCCTTTTCATGTCCAAGTTCATCCCCCCCCCCTCCATC